TTTTATTTGTAAAGCCTGTGATAGTTTTGTTGAATGTCTGTGACTTTCTGTTGTGTTGATTTGTATTGGTGCTGGAAAACTCATTGACACTCTTTGGCACGGTCCAGTAATCTCCACAGGCTAAACATTAAGCTCTCTTTATTTTTTCCTGTACAGTCTAGCCAAATTTTAATGGACTTGAGAATTTCTTCAGCAGTGTGGGATTTGCACTACGAGTAGCCAAGTATATCTAACTGCCCGTTTTTGACACATGGATGATACACCACCCTCTCCTGCTGGACAAAACTCTTTTCCACTACAGGGCTCCTGACAAAAAAATCGAGTAAGGAGCCATTGGCTCCTATAAGAAAAAAACGTAGGTGCCACAGAATAAACGTGTTTTATTTATTTTTACATTTCAATCATACTGTCATGTGTTTGTCTCATCTTTTCTTGACTTTAAAGTGAAGTGAAAAGTGAAGTGACATGTGGCCAAGTATGGTGACCCATACTCAGAATTAGTGCTCTGCATTTATCCCATCCAAAGTGCACACACACAGCAGTGAACACACACACACCGTGAACTCACACCCGGAGCAGTGGGAAGACATTTTATGCTGCGGCGCCAGGGGAGCAGTTGGGGGTTCGGTGCCTTGCTCAAGGGCACCTCAGTTGTGGTATTGAAGGTGGGAGAGAGCGCTGTACATTCACTCCCCCCACCTACAATCCCTGCCGATACGAGACTCGAACCCTTAACCTTTTAGGCCATGACCTGGGAACTAAGGTTCAGTTAAAGTGGGAACTAAATGTCTTTTCCAACTTAAAACATATACAGTCATAAAGAATTGTTCATTACACAGAATCTGTACCAATATAATGGACCATAAGCATCACTTGGCCACTGAGTGTAGTTTGGGCTCCTTCTCAGTGCATCCTGTAAATGTTGTCATACACTCTTAAAAATAAAGGTGCTTCACGATGCCATAGAAGAACCTTTTTTATCTAAATGGTTTCATAAAGAACCTTTTAACATCTTCTACAGATTTTAACAGATTATAAAAAGTTGAGAAAGAGATGGTTCTTTAATAAAGTATGTATTCATGAACAAGTTAAAAACCTTTAACCGACCCAGAATGGAAGCAGGTTATGAAAGGAACATCACTGTGCCAGCCTGACGTCCAACAAGAAACACAGAAACGACAAGACACACACACACACATATGCTGTATGACGCGGACTTCATGCATCCACTAAAAATCACCAAAACAAAAGTTTAAAAGTAAGAAAAGAGAAGTTAGATCTGAGAAAAGCAGCATTACAGTGCAGATGTTACTTGATTTGATATCTGGATAGCTAATGCAATGACATATAGACATTGTAAGCATCCTATTGCATTTTGAGACTACCAGGGCTCCGGACAAAAAAAATCGAGTAAGGAGCCATTGGCTCCTATAAGAAAAATACTTAGGCGCCAAATAATTTTTTTAGGTGCCACAGAATAAATGCATTTTATTAAATTAAATTTTTATATTTCAATCATACTGTCATGTGTTTATGTCTCATCTTTTCTTGACTTCATCATCATTTGAATCCATCTTGTAGATGACCTGGGAACTAAGGTTCACTTAAAGTGGGAACTAAATGTCTTTTCCAACTTGAAATATACAGTCACAAAGAATTGCTCATTACACAGAATCTGTACATATCGTGGATCATAAGCATAATTTGGCCACTGAGTGTAGTTTGAGCTCCTCCTCAATGCATCCTGTAAATGTTGTCATACACTCTTAAAAATAAAGGTGCTTCACGATGCCATAGCCATTGTCTAAATGGTTTCATAAAGAACCTTTTAACATCTTCTACAGATTTTAACAGATTATAAAAAGTTGAGAAAGAGATGGTTCTTTAAAGAACCTTTGACTGAATGGTTCTTTGTGAAACCAAAAATGGTTCTGTGAAGAACCTTTTAAGCACATTTATTTTTAAGAGTGTATGTCTTTCACACTTTCAGTCTGTTTTTCTTAATTAGTAAAATGCAATTTTATAGGAGGAGTTGAATCATGTAGACAACAGGTTAAGTAAAAATATTAATATGCAATAGCGCATAAATATAGCAAAATGCTCCTCTTTATAGTTATTTTTCTAGCTGACTGATGAGCTTATGGACACCAAATGGTTATTCTGAGGTAAATTTATATTACGTTGCAATGTTTACAAGCTTTACACGTATTCCGCAGTTTGAAACACTGAATGAGACATTTCAGTAAGATGTACTGTAGGCTCTCTTATAAAATAGCCTACCTTTTGATGTTAATTCAAGTTCATTATGTACTATAGTAGTAAAGAGAAAGATTAAATGGGTTCACTTGCCGCTTGAACTGAGGCGCTAAAGCGATCGCGCCTGCCGCATTAAAGAGCGCCAAAACTGTATTTATTGTTTGAATTTCGGTATGAATTTGGAATAATTTTAATGCTGGTACTTTGTTTATTAAAAAATAACAAAGCACATATGATATAATATGAAGTTCACGCACTAACAGAACACAGCATAGACTAAGGCCCCGTCCACACGGAGATGCGTTTAGCTGTATACGCATACATTTTGTTTCGTATAGGCGTTTCGTCCAGACGGATCTGGCGTTTTGGGAGAATGAAACCGATCTTTTTTGAAACCGGGTCCCAGAGTGGATAAATCTGAAAACGCCACCCTTGCGTTTTCGTGTGGACAGCGAATCCATATATTTTCTGTATAATCTGTATAATCCCACGTCTCGCCCCTAGTCAGACACCGCTACGTCACGTAACAGCAACAAAAACATGAACAAACACTGAACGATTGTCTTTTTATTAGCTAACATTAACACAGATTAATAAATGTATTTTAGTGTATCTCTGTTTCAGAATTACAGCGCCACATGCTGGTCTGGCATGTATACTACATTGTTTTGTGTCGGTTTCGTGGTTTCGTGTGGACGTAGATATTTCTTGAGACGAGGGGAAAAAAAGATCGGATAGGGAAAGCTCTGGCTTCGTGTGGACGTAGCCTAAGATCTTGATAAGAAGAAGCCATATTAGTAATGATTATAAACGAGAATTGTTAATGATATTGCCAATATCCACAAAGCTGACAGTTTTACCTGTTGTAGTTTGTGCAAGTTGTGCACGAAATATATGCTGCATTTCTGCACTTTTACTTCGCTCATCTCTGTCATTTCTATCTCTCTCGCGCTGCACAACTGAGCTGCATTTAGCAGGTGTGCATCAGCGCTGCAGAGATGAGTACTGTTTGAAACACTTTTTTCCACTAATACTTTAATGCGCATCGTCTCAGTTTAATACGTCAACATAACAAAAGATGTGATCGCAAAACAATCAGGAAAAAAGGCATTACATGCAAATTTTTAAGTTATAACATGTAAATACACTCTTAAAAATAAAGGTGCTTCAAAAGGTTCTTCAAGCGATGCCATAGAAGAACCATTTTTGGGTCCACAAAGAACCATTCAGTCAAAGGTTCTTTAAAGAACCATCTCTTTCTTACCTTTTTGTAATATGAAGAACCTTCTTTCACCACAAAGAACCTTTTGTGAAACAGAAAGGTTCTTCAGATGTTAAAGGTTCTTTATGGAACCATTTAGACAAAAATATTCTTCTATGGCATCGTGAAGCACCTTTATTTTTAAGAGTGTATATATAGTCGCCAATGGCGACTTCAGCAAAAACTTCACTCTCAAATGAATATTTTAGTCGCAGTTTGGAGCCCTGCACTATCCATCCAGTAATCTTTTATTAATCTGTTTCTTTCAGCCTTGAAATGAGCGATATAATCTGAATAATCTCTTTGAATGCACAGAAGTAGTGGATTTTTGGTTTTGGTGTTCACCAGCTGCATCAGGGTCCCATGTGTTTCCAATATGTTCCACCCTCAGTCAGTTTGCCCCGTTCTTAACCGTGAGTTTATTACCATGTGAAGTGTATCACAGCTGGGCACCAGCACCAGCCCTGATGAGAAAATCTGCTCTGCAACCCTGCAGTCTGCTCAGGCTTCTGAGCAAAAACTGGTCAAGATGTCTTTACCTGGTCAGTTAAAACATGCTACATCCACTAATGCTGATCGCCGAGGTGAAGCATAGACTTGGACGTGTGAGTGTTTTGTCAACATTTAGCCAGAGAATATATATCGACCCCACGGTAGCCCAAGTGAAGTACTGATAAATCAATGATGCCATTAGTGCCGCGGTCCTTCTCTGGCCGCATGATGTAAATGATGTCTAGTGTTGGTTTGGAGGAACTTTCCATTAGATATGTGTATTTTTACGTCCTCTGAGCCACACCACCATAGCTTGGTGATTAATGGACTGGGGACCACAGGGACCAGGAGTGAACTTATTTCTATGAGTGTGGATGCAGTAGATTATCTACTATGAATTACAATGACCAATGGGATCTTGGCATGCAATCACTAAAACTACATTTAAAGTCAATTTGATATCAAAATGACTGATATCAAAGTTTTACATCATAATCTTTCATCTTCCACCTCTGAAATTACTTTCATGTTTAGCTGATGTCACCAAACAACAAAGCTGATGCTTTTAACCGTCTGTGGAAATGCATCTAAATGCCACTTCAGATACTGCTTCTGTATCATCTGTGGATGATCTCATGGATCAGGCATAGGTTGAGGAGCTTAAACAACATTAATGGGGATGGATTGGAGGGCACTGCAACTTTTGTAATTATGACTCAGACATGCAACACACAATCACTGAATATTAATGCATATATGCCTCAACAAGAGAAATTATCTCCCTGATGATCTCACCAGATCTTTGGCTTTAAATGCACAGCCTCTTTGTGTGTTTCGCTGCCCACACTTGGATATGCGTCATCTTGTCTGATTTTGTGTCATCTGCCCTGAACTTAATTGCACTCCTTCAGTGGTTAATTTAAGGAAACTTGTATATTTGGGTTTGTTTTGTTTCAAGAAGTTCTAACAACATTTTTTCCCTCTCTTATAGCGCGAGAAGAGAACATGGCCACATTCAGAGGTTCTGAGTACTTCTGCTACGACTTGTCTCAGAATCCCATCCAGAGCAGCAGCGATGAAATCACATTGTCCTTCAAGACCTGGCAAAGAAATGGCCTTATCCTTCACACGGGCAAGTCAGCAGACTACGTCAACCTTGCCCTGAAAGATGGGGCTGTTTCGTTGGTCATCAACTTGGGTTCCGGAGCCTTCGAGGCCATTGTCGAGCCGGTCAATGGCAAATTCAACGACAATGCCTGGCATGACGTGAAAGTCACACGCAACCTCAGACAGGTAACGCTAAAGTGGCTGGAATTTCATGTTTTCTGATCTAATTCAGAGCTAAATGCTACTGTATATTGCTTAAATTAGCATTTTCGGTCATTTTAAATTCTTCGAGATGCTAACGCAACTATTTCTTCCTCTGAGTTCTTCTACCTTGCCTCAGGTTTTGCCTCCTCAGGCATTTACCTCTGTCTGAAGCTATCAACAGTGCGATGCCTTCAAGAGGCTGTCTCTCTCTCGCCCCTCTAGATATTCACCTCACTTCTCCAAATAGTCTGTCTTATCAGGGCAGCAGGGAGAGGCTCCAACCAACCTCAACCGTTCCATTTACCCACAGCCAATCTTTGCTGAACTGTTAAATCACTCCGCCGCTGCATTTTAAAATATGTAAATATTTAGGGTGGTTTTGCCCCTCAGGAGTGAAAGGATGTCACTTTTTGCGCAGGCGTGTGTGGAGGCGTGAGTGCCCACAAGCACAAGCTATTTCAGCTCTGATCCACTAGGACTGTGACATTTTTTTCGCTTTGTTTAATAGCTGTTTTACTATCACGCCTAGAACATGCATTAGAATTACCTTGTACAGTTGCCTGAGGAAAGTCAAAAACCATATGAATCACAACAAAGAGGCAGCTAGATAGAGGTCACCGTTCACGGTTGTAGCAGAAAACAACACGTTACGAAACATTACATTAGAAGAGACCTAAAAATCTAAGTTAAATGTGTTTTGGCGATGAACAAATTGGGAATTATTGGTGATAAACTCAGTCTTTATTCTGGAAGGCTTTTTCAAGTGAGTATGCACTTTAAGATTTTGCCAACAAGTGCAGTGTCTTTACAAAAAATGAAATGTCACAGGCTCTGTGGAGAATCTGCTGTTTCTTTTTCTTTTCCACATTTTCTTACTCTCACTCATATGCTTTGCTTGTCTATGGATAACATTTTTTCAGACCCAGACTAACCACTCATGAACCATTGACTAGAGGCTTTAGTTTACTTACCAGAACCTAAACTAATGTGCTACACATCATGACTTCATTTTAGTTTATTTCATTTTATTAACAACCCTTTTGTTCATTGTTTAATTTCCTTTCTTCCCCCTTTTCTCAAAGCATTCAGGTATTGGACACGCTATGGTAAACAAACTACATTGTCTGGTAGATATCATTCTTATTGTCCTTTTTTTTGGTTTACCGTGTGTTTCCCTGGCCCTCTTTCTTTCTCATTTTTGGGGTTTCATGGCTTCATAAAAAAATAAACAGACTTGGGTTTGTATTTCGGGGATTTTTCTTTTTTATTTCAAATGTCCTCATTCCATTTTTCACTACAGCTTTACCGCCATTTTCTATCTTTCTTTCTTTGAACTTTCTCTTTGGCCCTTTTTTTAGTTTCTGAAGGTTTAGTTGTCCTCTTAGCCCTTTTTTCTTTTTTAAATCAAATACTGTCAAAAACTGGCAGAAGCTTTCCAAAACAAAAAAGTGACAAAAACAACAGTATGAAAATAAAAGAATAAAGAACTACTTCAGCACTGGAGCTCTGACAGTTGATTCCAGTTGTTTCTGCATGCCGCACCGACCCATTCATGCTGGATCAGCCCTTGTGTTACTAACACCAAAACTCTTGTCTGAGCAACCCACCATCTGCCCAATGTCCTGTCCTGTCTGTATTGTGGTGTCAGTCATGACTTCTTGTGTCCTCCCTCATTACCCCTCATCCTGTAGCTTTTGCTTTGGTCTCATATGTGCTGCTTCCCCTTGCATATCGTCTTGGCTTGAAGAAGATGCATGATTCCATGTTTGCAGTGGTTGTGTATCTCACTATTAATGTTATATGAGGAAAAAGACCATCTGATCTCTGTGTTGCATGCTCATTTGTGGTAGTATTAGCTCATTTTGGAACGCATGTGTCAACTAACCCTGTGTGCACAGAATTTGAACTAAAAGCAAGCAATCTGTCTATAGTTTGTACATAACACTAACCCCTCAAACTAATGCCCCAAACCAGAAAACCATTTCTAACAACATCAAAGATAAAGAAAATATGCCGGCAAAATATTTTCTTTACCTGTCCTTTGTAAGTCTACAAGTACTAGACAAGAACGGCCTACTAAAAGTCTCGAAGTGGTCTTTGGTACACAATCAAAGACAGACAGCAACCAGCAAGATCGAAGCTAACCTATTCCTGGTAGAGCGACCGTCACAGCCATGATGTTCATGAATGGATTTTTCCCTCCCTTTTGTCATTCCTCCCAATCAGGTGACAATATCTGTGGACGGCATCCTGACTACAACAGGCTATACGCAGGAGGACTACACAATGCTGGGATCAGATGATTTCTTCTACGTCGGAGGAAGTCCAAGCACAGCAGACTTACCTGGGTCGCCCGTCAGCAACAACTTTATGGGTTGCCTGAAAGAGGTAGGTGGTCTGGGCGAACCCCGTTCTTTCATCTACATACATCATATCACCATGTCCTTGTCTGGACTGAGAGGGAACAAGTTTGAATAGACCGTCCGAGCAGAATAATAGATTCAGTACAGCTTATCTTGTGAAAAGGATAGAGCAGACATCATACCCGTGGTGTGTTTCTCTAATGAAATTTGCTGGAGTTATACATTTTTGCCCAGATGCGAAATTGTTTCAGGCGTATTTAATATGACTTTTCAATTGTGGTGAATCATTTGATTAAGGTTTCACAGGCCAGAGAAGAAGCGAAGGTGATTGGATGAGATGAGACTTTGCATAATGATATGCATCGTTTTCAAAAAGGGAACCCCAAAGAGATTCTGCTGAACAACTGGACATGAAGATATCCATAAATGCAAAATAAAAATCTCACAGAAAAATGCTTCATATGTCACCCCTAAATTGAAAAGAAAAAATAAGAAGTTATTTTCTGCTTAAAGAAATTGAATCCTATTTGTAGGACCATTATTTTTTTCTTTTCTTTTTTGTTATTTATTTATTTATTTATTTATTGTCATTTGTAATTTAGTTGTAATAAATTAAAAACCTAATTTAAGGAAGGTTTTTATCAAAAGACAAAAAAATTTACTGCAGTTCATGTAATGGGAATGCAGTAATGGTAATGAAAAACCTTGTCATAAAAATGGTCACAATGCAAACCATATTAGGTCTAAAAAAGCTTTTTTCCACCCTAAACAAAGTATAATTTATTTTTTGTTGTTGTTGATTATGATCCAGACAGGTTTTGTTTTTGCTTTCAGTTCATCCTCTTATTATTGTTGTTATTATTATTATTACATTTTCCACATTACAGTAATGGTAAACTTGAAATAAAAATGAAGTAAAATAGAGTTAGATTTAAATTAAAAAGCTAAATTTAAAGAAGGTTTTCATCAGACAAAAAAGTAAATGTAATGTAAATGCAGTAACGGTCATGAATAACCTTGTCATGATCATTATATCACAATGCAAACCACCTTAGTCCTAAAAAGTTTTCTTTAAACAAAGTATTATTTTTTTCTTTAAATTAATATGATCCAGATAGGTTTTGTTTTCGCATTCATTTCACCCTCTAAGAGCCATTATACTGTTTGCCGAAGTTAGATGTCATTCTCTTCGATCAGTTCAGCTGTTCATTTCCACACTCCTCGGTTGTCAGGTCTGGATAACTTTATCAGTAAATGGACTGATCTTTAATTTAGCTGGAAATAGGCAATTACTGTTGTGCGGCTGCTGGCGAGATCCTCCATTAATTCATGCTGAACAAACAGAAGACAACAGAACCTCCTTTTTCGCAGTGAGCACTACAACAGCCTGCTATCTTTTAATGACCCGCCATCAAGCTATCATTGCCGTTTCCATCTCAGACCAGCCCTCCCATCGCAGGGCTAAAAACCTGCAACATCGGCGTTTGCGTAAAAAACTCATTTCATTCCCTCTTTACTGTGATGAGTTTTAAAAAACTGCCACCCATGTCAGAGATTACAGTAATCAGTCTCATATGTGCTGCGATATAGCAAGTGCTTACATAACACTGCTCTGTTAGATAGGTGAACTGGATGCTAAGAGCTGCTCAAGACGAGATAGCAGAACTTATACATCCTTCACCCACCCAAGAGTGGCCATAATGATAGATACCTCCTCCTCACACTCTTTCTCATAGCTCGAGTCCAAGGATAAAAATAAATTGTATACTCTTCTCAGCTTTTAAAACCTCACATTTGATGTGGAAGCTGAAAATGATGTAGTTGTTATGGATCATGTGTGGTCGCTTAGACACATGGGGTTTGTAATATAGCATGAGACTGTCAACATCTGATCAGGATGACATGTTCATAAGCATGCCATTTTACATTTTTAGCTGGGTTCAGTTAAACCTAAAATGTTCAGACTTTTTTTTGTTGTTTTCAATTACTATGTTCACAGTAGCTTAGTAATGTAGTGCTCTTACGTTTTGTGCAGTATAAAAGGTCAGAAATTTAGGTGGGTAAAATGCCAGTGAAAGTGACTTTTTCTTTCTGATAAAGCCATCATACATTCAAAAAAAAATTTCTTACATTCTACATACATTCTAATTATTATTCATGCAAAAAAATACAGAAAATTATATATTATATTATATTATATAATATTATATTATATTATAATACTAGTCCACTTAGCATCTTGTGCCACAGAGTGTACCACTTATTGCAGTCATGTTGTGGAAAGGGTAATGCACAGAGACACATTTAACACTGCTTTTACCTATGAACTGTATATTCTGTAGGACAGAGGTTTCAAAAAATGGTTTCAGACAGAAAATCAAAGCAATATGCACTGATTTCTTAATATGTATAAGACCACAGTATTTAAAAAAAAGAAATGATAGAGTAGCAGCTGTTTTTTTAGCATTATTAACACCAATATTTTTTCTCTTCCTTTAAATGAAGCAGACTATTGTATAGATAGTCACAGGCCTCCTCAGACCTGCCTTGTGTTTGTCTTTCAAGCTGAGCGTGAAGGGCAGTAATCAGGGTATGGCGGGGCATGTGGCTGCACAGGGGTCTGCCAGCACTAATGACTGGATACTGAGCGGCCTTCACTGCTGAGCTGGACTCTGGTTCCCTTCCTTTTTGCTCTGCCATCACAATCAGTTTCCAGGATGTGCGCATGGTGACTGTCATTTGTCACTTTGCTGGTCTGGCTGGATGAAACTGTCCCTGCTCTCTGGACACTTGCTCCAGAGCCAGCACCGCTCTATGGATGCGAGACAAGTCTGAGAGTTCTGATAGATAGGTTGACCTAGCCTTACTCGCTCTCTCATCCTCTATCCAGCAGATTTGTTTCAGTAAGCACCGCAGGACTGTTAATATTTGGCAAAAGCTCAGAGCTGGAATGCTGGCCAGCCTGAAACAGCAGGAGTGGTCTTTGTCTTCTGTGTCAGACATGTAGTGTTCAGATTAAATTATATTTTAGAATATTTTGATGAAATAAAACAAAGCATCAATTAAAGGAGACATATTATGCCCCTTTTTACAATATGTAATATAAGTCTCTGGTGTCCCCAGAATGTGTCTGTGAAGTTTCAGCTCAAAATACCCCACATATAATTTATTATATCATTTTGAAAATGCCCATTTTGAGTGGAAGCAGAAACATGCGGTTTTTCGTGCCTGTCTCTTTAAATGCAAATGAGCTGCTGCTCCCCGCCCCCTTTTCCAGCTTTTCCAGCTTTTGAGCTGCGCCATTACAGCTCATACCTGCTAAAAACATCTGTTTTGGTTCTGATTATCATGTTTATCGCGCTGAAATCATGCGTTTTAAACTTCTGATATACGGTTTTCTGAGTGCACACATCCGAAGCACACGGACAGAAAGCGGCTGTCACAGCATGTGAGTACTAAACTAAGTTCTCATTCACACACAAGTTTTCGTTAAAAACCCACATGAGTTACAAAAACTTGGTTAGGTCTGTGAAGGTAAACAGCTGGAAAATAAATTGCATGTTTATTTTAGATCTGTGTGGCAGCAGCAATATATAATAGATAAATCAATAAATCCACTGCTTTCTTGTCTCCTCTGAGGCTGGGACTCTAAATAGTGTTCTATGCTCGTCTGTGCAGCCAAAGACAGAACAGTTAGGTCTCTCCACACTGACAGCGATGTGAAAAAGTGAAACGAATGTCCGGCGAATTGAGTATTTACATCAACGGCGAAACGAATGTTCGCATCTTCAATTTGACACCTACACGGTAGGTGGCGCTGACAGCAAATTTATTATTAAAAGCATTTATTATTATTAAAGTTTTTTTTTATTATTGAAGGTTAACAGACTACATCAAAGCTTATACTATATGATATAAAGATATCAAATTCACCGTCAATGCCAATTTTCTCCGTGATTCTTTGCCACAAAACTTGTTTTTTGTTGTAGTCGGTGTGACTTTTGCAAAAAGTTCTCTATGTTCAGACACCAACGACAACAACATCTCGACATCCATATTCTTTGTATGTTGGTTGAAAGTCCTCTACTTCTGTGTTTTTACGCTCATGCTCAATACAGTCTCCTGAGCTTTTAGAGCCACCGCATCGACCTTTTGGGTAACAGCAGTTGCTCTGGCCACGTGATGTATTGTTCAAATCTTATTGGATGGCCCGTGTTTTCGCTTTGCGAAACTGAAAAGATTTGTCCAACTGGTTAGCATTTTCGGTGCGCAAATGTTCGTGGTCTATGTGGAAGCATCCATAGGAATCTGTTTATTCCAGCACGTCATCGCGTCCAATATATTCATTTAGCTTTTTCGTGCACAGTGTGGAAAGGACCTTTAGCATGTTTTGCTCAAACTTTCGCCATGGCATTAGAACTGGTAAGGCCTTTCCTCACTGAGTGCGATGCGAAAAAGCGAGGCGAATCGCCAAAGAACGGTGCTTTCACACAGAACGTGAAACGATTGTTCGCCTTCTGCTAATTCACGCCTGCACGCTAGGTGGCGCCGACCAACAATGCATTTTTCCTCAGATATGTATCTCGTAAATGGATTTAACATCGTCCACTGCTCAATTTACAGCATTAAATTAAGATAAACAAAGTTTGGTTCTACACCAGAAACAAACTATCTATAATGCTTACAAGAATAGGCTACATCCTAAAATATAATTAGAAATACAATTAGCATCAAGCTACACTTGAAAATGAATATAATTATTAATGTATTTGCTTACCCACTTTAAACCATCATTGAGTGCTTGTAATAACTTCCGATTGTGATCTATAGTTGATTTTGTGTTTAATAACGCTACACTGCTAATATTTGTCATTAACATCCTTTATTGCTATAAAAATACCATGAGCTGCATACAAAACACATACAGAAAATATATAGTCATAATCATGTCTATTTGCTTTCATATTTCATGTGTAGAAAAAGAGTTAACGTGCTCTGACTCATAACACTCACGCACGTGGAAGA